ACAAAACCAGTGAAGCATGTGGGAGAAGAAATGTAATTCAAAGCAAAATTACAACACAACTCCCCCTTAATTCTACAACACAACCTCTCCCCCTTTTTATCATAATTTCACACAGTCATCTCTCCCCCTTTTTGTTAGGAAATCCAAAGGGCAAAGAATGAACATAAGGGAGCATATATAAGAGGGAAAGAAAAATAAAAAATAAAAAAATCAGATTGCATTCCCAACATATAAAGACATAGAGAATAACCAATAACGCATGTAAGAGGCTTTATCCTGAAAACAAACAGAAAATTCTTTTTTTTTTTTTTTTTTGGTAATTTTATTATTCTAATCCAAATTTCAAAGATTAAATGTGAATTTTAAAATAATAACCATCTTTCATTCCCGAAAAAAAAAATTTCACATTTGTCCAATCAGTTATACACATAACAAATACAAATGTGGTGTGTAGAGATTAAATGCATGGAGACGAGCAATAAAGATAAATGATGCATGCTTCCCCAAATGTGATTTTTGATGAACTGTCAACCAAGAAACCATATGACGTTGGCATACATGATATCATATTACACTGCTGCCTACGGTAAGTCAGATTCGGGGTCGGTGTGGATCGCAGAATCAGGTTTTCAGAATCCATTACCTAATCCTTGAAATGGCATTCTTAGGAACAAGTAGAACCTAGCAATTTTCATTCCAAAGTTAAAAAAAAGTTGGAACAAAAGCATTTTTATTGGGACACCAATGAAATTTTACCTGGAAGCACAGATAGAAGAGCATGTTCGCCATTATTATTTCTCATAAAGTCAAATTAGGATAATGGAGTTAGAAAACCTACTAGTTTTCCTAGCTTTTGAAAAATCTTCATCTTTTGGGTCTTTGATACACATGGAAAGAAAAATCCAAACTAATTGTACTAAACAAACCTGGAAATGAAACACTAATCCCATTCCTTAACCATAATTCCGTAAAACGAACACATACATAGTTGATATATCATGTTAACTTAAAAACTATGGATTTGAAGTGGATGAGATATCAATAAGATGAGTAAAAGAGAAGGCATGCATGAAAGCCATGTGTTTCTCAGAGAGTAAGACACAAAAAAGTCATTAAAATCAAAGAATCAACAGTACGAAATGCTTCGTCAGTAGTAAATTCAAGATAGGAATAAAAGTTTAAAATAGTACCTTCATACTCTGAAGCAGTTTCAGAACAACCTAAAGGAAGGGAAGTAACAACAATTGAAGATCAATTAGATTAATACCAAAAATCTAAATTTGGATTTACAAACGAAAAAAACAACCAAAAGCTTTACTCAGTGTACCTCATTTTCTTCGGTAGTCCCTGATGCGAGGGTTTCAAGTACTTTTATTTTCAATAGAAACTTCTCCTCACGGGCCTTATATATATTGTTTTGCTACAAGCATCCAACAATAAAAACAATTAATACTAATGAGTAGAATAAGAAAACGATATTCTCTGATGAAACAAAACTGAAGACTTTACAATTCTCAGGTTCACTGCTTGATTTGCAAATCGTTGCTCAATCACTTGCATGACTTTTCTCAGAAGATATGCAACACGCTGAGCAAATTATTATAAAGATAGGTTAGACATACAAAATAAATATACAACATAGACCAAGGAATCAAATTATAACTGTGCATGGATTCATGAATGCTTTAACAGTATGGCATCCATGTATCCTCTTACTGCCATACATTAGGTACATCACCATTGTTTCTGTCAATGCTGTCATCCAAAATCCTATTCCCAACATTGAAAAGTGATCTAGTAGATGCATTCTGCAACAAAGAATTGCAACATCAAACAAAATTTTGACTAATATAAAGCAAGAACTTATCAATGTACATAAAACAGGATGTACAATACGAAACAAAACAAAAAAATCAAGAGATTACATCTAAACTGGTTGATTTGATTGACTCCAAAATCTTAGCATTAGAGAGATCAACAAGAGTCCCCTGCTTCAATTGCTGTCCAATATGATGTACTAGCGCAGCTGATGGATCTAAAAACAAGGGAGGGAAACATAATTAAAAGTAATGTCTTTACAACACCAACAACTTATGTGCTAGAATAACATCTATCAGTCCAAATAAAAAATAAGGTTCCGCATTTACTTAATTCCGGGCTTCAATTATTATTTTCATAATAATGCATTAATCCAATTAGTCTGGCTAGGCATGCTGAATGAAACTAAGTATTCCAACCCACCACCCATTCCTCCCAACATCCAATCTAACGTTAAAAGTTTATTGCACTTAAAGTATCAGCAAAAGTACTCCAAAGAAAAAGGGCTCACAATTCTAGCTAGTAACTAACTTTCACAGCCTCCCCTGTAACTCCTAGTTTACTCCAAATTGGGCACTACGCTGCGTGGCACACAGTATACATACATGATCACATATACACAGTATAGGAATTGGCATATACTTTGACAAGACTAATGCATGTAAAACTAGATATCCAAATCAGAATTTCAAAATTTGTCACTACATGCAGGGTCATACAAGTCTATGAAGTTTATGATTTCTACCTGTCACTCGAGATGTTGAATCAATGGAATTTCCTCCAGTATCTTCTCTATTTTGAGTAGATTGTTGTCCACATGTCGAGACATCCCCTTGGGAACGATCAATCCCCTTTAAAGATTCTACCTCTAATAAATAATTTTCTGCCTTTGTCTGATTTTTAGTGTTCTCTCCCCAAAAACCAAAATCAAAAGAAGCTTTAAGTGCACTAAGGCAATGCAAAACTGGCACCATAGAACCCTGCAAATGATCTCAGACCATAAAATGATACGAAGAAGTTACAAGGTAGAGAAATAGTAAAGACTCAAAGGTTGACTTTTCCAACCAAATACAGGTACGGGTTAATCCATCCAGTATACTTATACATAAATCTAAGACTTAACAGTGGGCTGGCCACATAGACCAGGATAATATGGTTTTATAATTATCCAGAACATTATCAAAGCATCCTCTCTGTGTTAGTAAATAAATACACCTCAAGTATGCACCCAGAACTCTACAAACAGCGGAGCTAAGACCAAGTTTGCCATAGGATGCTCAAATTCAATGTTATTTACAGTCACCAGATGGAACAGATTCCTCAGATACATGATTGTACAGGGATTATACTTAGCTTCTATGAGATCAGACAGAAAGAACCAGTGACTTGTTTGACTGATAAAAACAGGTTAAAAACCAAAATAGTGAAAGAAATATTAATTTAACTACCTGCTCTAGGTCTAACAGTTCAAAGCGGGGGAATCCTAATTCATCCACAGCTGCCAGAAACCTTGTGATATTTGCAAAACCAGGGTCAGAACTCCCTCCCTAAAGCAGGGAAAAAACATTCAGATCAAGAATGCAATATGTAAAACCATGTACAAATGGTCAATACCAAGCTAATACAATTTAAAAGAAAGAGAAGAAAACAGTCTTAAGAATCTAATGCACAACAAAGTTAAATAATGAGACATTTACAAGCAAAGAAAATGGAACAATAAATCCTACCATTTCAACTGAACCAGGACATAGCTTATTTAAAATTCTGCATAAAACAGTGCCATCGATTAAGCAGGCCCTGAGTTCCTCCTCGGAAGCATCCAATGGCAATCTTAAATAAGGAACGATAAAATTTAACCATTCCACCAGCGATAATATCTGGTTACCTAAACAAATCAGAGTTCAAAGGTAAGGATGGGACCGATTACGTGCACATAACTACAGAGAGAGTGAGAGAGTGAGTGAGATAACTACCTTCAATTGTGCTGCCAAAACTTTCCACTAGTTCAGCATTCTCACCACGAGTCCCATTTATAATTTCAAATCCCCGGAGGAAAACCGCCACCACGGTCTTGGTGCCCTCAACCGTATGAGTCACCGACATGCATATGAATGCAATATGAATGATTAAAGTGTTTGATAAATCACCAAGTAAACATTGAACACTTGATGATTTATCTCAAATATACGCCCAGCAGCTTTTCTTAGAATTCTATATGCTAAAAAAAAACATCTCAAAAGCTATGTATGTGAAAATAAAGACCCCTAATTTATTCAAAGCAGGTTCTCTCTAGTAAGAGAGAAACCCAATAGTCCAACAATTCTATTCCAATGTGATTGTCAAGCTTGATCCAATATGGACTCAAGTCAATCACGTCAAAACCAAGACACACTACCATGCAATTAAGAATGATAACTTTGATTCAATATCAACTACCTATAAGGACGCCAAACATGAGACTACAAATAGTATCAATCATGAATATCAATTTTGATCTAGTGTGGACTCTAAATGATAATGCCAAACAACCAATCTTTGTGCGAGAAACAATATCTCCTAAAACAAACTAATTTGACCAATCAAGTAGGAGATGAGCAACGTGCAAGTCATAACGGGAAAAGATAAAACTTAAATCAAAATAGAGTCCAACTAGGAAAGTAATCTCAAGAGATAAAATCTAATCCTATTAAAAATAAGATTAAGATAAAAATACTTTGAGTGAAAATAACTCCAATTAGAAATCTTATAATGAATGCATGATTATGTCATGATTTACCTGAAATCAGTTTTTCATACCGGTCAAGTCATGCTTCAGAAACTTGGGATTGAATGTGTTGCGCCAAAACGTCTAGTAAACGATATTCACACACTAACTCCCAACCTATGCTAGAGTCTAGGAAATGACAATACAATTTTCATACTAACAAACCCTTTGATCTCTCTGGTTTTGGCTTGAAGTCAAACAAACACGCAAACACAAACAAAACAACTCTCTCCCTCCCTCTCAATACCTAAACTAATATCCAAAATAAATTAGTAATTCTTTTAGTTGCTGAAGAAACGCGTAACATATTCTTCAAAGATCAATCCAAAAAATGTTAATCAATTTTGTTATGTTCCTCATGTTTCTCGATAACAAAACAAGTCAAAGATAATTATAATTTGGGAGAAAGGGAAGAAAAGAAATAGATCTAATTTCCAAGGAAATTGTTAATGTGAATGAAGACCCAAACAAGATCGATATGCCCGTGAAACTGCAGAGAGTTAAATAAATAAATAAATAACTTTTTTTATTTTCATTTTTAATATTTCTTGTTTTGAAATTTGAACCATGAGTTAACGGCTGTTATCTCTAGGTTTAGTATGGGGATAGGAAAATTGGGCATAGGAAAATTGAACTCGAAACATCCCTACTTAGATGTAGTCATTATATTCTACTTTCTGTTTTGTCTCCCTTCCATATGGGAATTATTCTCTACAAACTCTAACTGACAAGGAGACTATAAATAGATGGCTACACTCCATACATGAGGTAATCCTTTTCTAATCCGAAAACCCTAGAGAAACTCAATCTCTCTCTCTCTCTCTCTCTCTCTCTCTCTCTCTCTGTGAGAGAAAACTCCGTCCTTTCAGTTATTTTTGCATCTCCCCGAGACCATTTAATTGACTTAGGCATCAAAGTTTGCCCAACATCCCCCAAAAGTGCTCCGTTGACCAAATCAAGGATGACGACGACGACTGGACTGGTAGAAACCTTAATTTTGATGCATGGCTCTCCTTGTGTAGCGAGAGAGCAACCCCATCTTTATAATTTTAACTCCTTGAAGTTGTAGAAAACAGAGAGAAAATTCTCTCAAGTTTTACCGAAGACCCTTTTATGCTTCCAATTTAAAAAAAAAACCTCACGTAAAGTGAATTAGGTCAATTGGGCAATATACCCACACTACACCTAAGTTTGATCTCCTTTAATGTCTCATCATGTTATTATATATATATATATATATATACAGTCCCCTTTTATTGAGGGACGCCCTTTACGGTACCCTACAATTTTTTTTCAAATCATCCAAACCATCTATTTTTTAGGTCTTCATTCATAGATCATCCTTACAAAAATTAGACAAATCAGAAACCATTTCGATATCCAATTGTGTCCTACAAAATCAATGAACACGGTGCTTTAAGAAAGTACTAAAATTTCAATAACTCAATTGAATGGTCAAATGATATCGGATTCAAGTGATTTTTTGTAGAGATGATCTTTGAACCTACAAAATTAATGAACACGGTGCTTTAAGAAAGTACTAAAATTTCAATAACTCAATTGAATGGTCAAATGATATCAGATTCAAGTGATTTTTGTAGAGATGATCTTTGAATGTGTATCTACAAAATAGACAGTTTGGATTAGTGAAATACAATCCGGAGTGGGCCTTACAAGGGGTGTCCCTCAAATAAGCTTATTTGATGAATCTCTCAATGGAAGCTCTCTGATTGATATATATATATATATATATATATATATATGGGAAAACATGGTAAAGGGCTTGTTACTATTGCAACTTGCAAGTCCAAGGCCCACCAAAGAAAGAAACAATAATTTCAATGGGATGATGGGCTTGTTTGTACGTTGGTGTAAGTCCACCATTATAAATTATAATTATAAACAATAATTATGGGCCAAGCGGGCTGGGCTTATATGGGCTAGGTGGGTCGGATTTATGTGCTGAGCCAGACTTTAGACCCCTTGCCTAAGCCTAGCTCACCCTTTGTTGGGCCAGGCTGGCCCATAGCCCACAACGGACTGGCCTGACCTTTTTCTCAATGGGCCGAGTGGGCCTTCATCAGCCTAAGAGCCTGTGGGCCAAATGATGATCCCTAAACACACCCACATATTGAAACGAAAATATGTTTAATACTTATCAAGTTGATTGGTGGTGTTTAAGAATAACAACGCTCATACAAGCTTCAAATATATATATATATATATATATATATAGAGCTTCCATTGAGAGATTCTCAAATAAGCTTATTGAGGGACACCCTTGTAGGGCCCACTTCACATTGTATTTCACTAATCCAAACAGTCTATTTTTTCGATAATTATTCAAAGATCATCTCTACAAAAAATCACTTGAATCCAATATCATTTGACCACTCAATTGAGTTATTGAAATTTTAGTACTTTCTTGAAGTACCGTATTCATTGATTTTGTAGCATACAATTGGATGTCAAAATGGTTTCCTATTTGCCTAATTTTTTGCAAAGATAATCTATGAATGTTGACTCAAAAAATAGATGGTTTGGATTGTTGAAAAAAAATTCGTACGGTACCCTGAAGGGTGTCCCTCAATAGAAGTTTGGGGGTGGATAAGTGGCACTATGTTTTTAATATAAGTTTGGACACAATTTTTGGGTCATTAGATTACTCCACTTTTAATGGATGAGATTATACCTGACATGGCTTTTTGACATAAAAAATAAATAAATAAACGAAATTTTCCCTTTCTTCTCTCTATTTTCTCGGAGAGGTAAATTTCTCTCAATAAATCATTTTTTTCTCTCTTTCTTCTTCCTCTTCCCAACACGTTCACTACTACCTCTCTCTTATCAAACCCAAAAAGAACCTTCTTACTGTTTGCTGATTCTTTCTTTCCTTATTATCTTTATAAAAAAATTGAAACTATTGTGGAGAAAGTATTAAGTCTGCTAGCATCCCATCTTCAAGTTTAACCCTGTTGGTGCCAATGGTTGTGGGAACCAAATTTTAGCCAAACCCTAGGTCAAATATTTCTTTTTATTGGGGGATTATTTGGCATAATTGGGAGTTATTTGATTCAATTAGCATTTATTTGATTTAAATCAAATTTCTAATCACGTCAGTCTCTCCAAATTGGGGAAGAATAATTCCTTTCTATCTGTGGAATTATTTTTCCGAAACCCTAGCCTCCGAGGCTCATATAAATACATGGCTACACCAATGCTTGAGGTAATTCTAAACCTACATCTGAAACTCTAAAGAAATTCTATCTCACAAACCTTAGCCGCCATAACTCTTTCTCCCTCTCACACAAGGCTCCGGCCTCCTAGTTCACACCACACATACATATCCGTACTCTTTAGTTAGCTATTGTTTTCCTACAAACACTCGAACTAATTTAGGCATTGGAGGGCCTTTGGCCAACACCCCCCGGTGTGGTCCTCTCATTCCGATTTTTTTTGCAAGGAGAAAAAGACGATGAAGGGGAAGACGGAATCTTAGACGAATATTCCCGTGGGACGAAAATCTCTCCCACAATGGTGCTATAAGAAGCAAGACTAGTGTTTCTTGGCTCCATTTCTCAAGCATACAACTTGTCCAAGACCCTTAAACATGTGTCTCTGAAATCGATGGGTATTTAAATAGTACTTATGGGTTCCTTTTCTCCCACTACACCTAAAACACAAGAGTTGCCAAAATACTGTGTGGTTGAAGATTCGTAATCTACAAATTTTTTTTTTTCTGTCAAATTTATAATGAAAATCTGCTTAACATAGGATTAGCCATAAGGTTTATAAGACCTAAGAATTTGAATTTGATCGCATATTACATAAGAAAAAAGGGAAAAACAACATGAAAATTCAGACCATAGAACCTCATAATGTAACAGGCATGAAGAAGAAGAAGAAAAAGTTCGAGAAATGTTGTTAATGGCAGAAGGCATGGCAATTAATGAGATTTAATTAAAGAAATTAAAACATGAATGAAGAGAGAGAAGATATTTTATTATGTAATTAATTAAAGAATTAAGATTAATAAAACTTAATCTTAGCCATTCAATGCATTCTAATCTAAAGGTTGAAAACTTGTGTAAAAAACATAGTGGCACAGATCGGCATATATATATATATATATATATATATCCCCTTCTATTGAGGGATCCCTCAAATAATTTTATTTGACGGACACCCTTTAGGGTTCTTTACGAATTTTTTTCAATGATCCAAATCATATATTTTAACTGTTTCGACATCCAATTGTTTCCTACAAAATCAATGAAC